TGAGTTTTGTTTGTTTTTTAATTCCCAATTAGACTTTTTGCTGATGTGCTCAATGACATTGCCATGTTCATGGAAATACTGGCTCCTTACTTTCCTGCTTGCTTCACCTTCATTGTGTGCACTGCAGGGATATTCAAGGTAACAAACAAAAAACAGGTTAATTCTGATCAAAATTATTTAATGTACACCACAATTTAAAAGGCTATTCCCATTGCTAAATAGGTGATATAAAAATGAAATTCCTGTCTAGTTGACCAAGGACAGCCCAGGTGCAAGGATGCAGAAAAAGTATAAAACGTTACGTTGCGTTATCTTGCATGTCATCCATTTGTGTTTGTCTTCTCCAGTCTATTGTTGGAGTGGCAGGTGGTGCAACCAGAGCGGCTCTCACTGTTCATCAGGCCCGCAGAGACAACATGGCTGACATCTCTGCCAAAGACGGCAGTCAGGTAGCTGCCACTTCCTACTTTCATCACACTGTGTATCATCAAGCTAACCAACGTGAGCAGTTTTACACTGTTCATTGTCTACATGTTTTCAATCTTTCAAATGTACCAGGATGGAAACTTAATGTGATGGTAATTAGAAAAGGATATATTCTGTATACAATATTTTGGTGTGGCACAAGAAAGAAGCACAAAAAGCCCTTTAATGGTAGTTTTAAGTTTAAACCAGGGAAAGCACGTTTGATTAATAATAACAGCAACATTTCAGGTCCCTGCTACTGAAGCAGATACATTTTATTATGTACACATTGTTTATCTCCAGAGACACACAGTAAAAAACAGGTAATTTCTACCAAATCTGTAAAGCCATCATAACATCATCATCTCTGTGTTTTCCTTTAGGAGACTTTAGTGAATCTGGCCGGACTGCTGGTCAGTCTGATACTCATTCCCCTCGTCACTGATAATCCAGTGTAAGTTTTGCTATATTTCAAATACTAATTATATTCTTAACGGGTCAGTTTACCCAAAAAACATGTTTTTCCTCCAGCCTGCAATGCTGTTTATGATTGTTTTGATGTGAGGTTCTAGTTTTGGAGAAAAACTTTTTTTTTTCTTGGCACTTTGAGCCTTCAAGGTGATTGTGGTACAGTTTTATTATATTATAAGACAAGGTGGACATTTCCTTAGCTGGTACTTCCAAACCCAGACAAAATGATCTAGAAGGATCGGGTCAAGTAAATTTGACTTAACTTTACTTGCTGTGCAGTCGTTTATCAAAGAAAAAAAAAATAAAGAAGAAGAAGAACAAAAAAATGATAATCAAAGTATAGGATAATAAAAAAAAATAGTAATAGTAAATAATGAGGGTGAACTGTTGCTTTAGAGTGTTTCATGCCTCTAACATCACCCACCTCAGTCTCTTTCTCCCTTTCTGTCTTGTTTAGATTGACTCTCTGCCTCTTCTTCCTCTTCACCGTGCTTCATCTTTTTGCCAACTACAAGGCTGTGCGTTCAGTTGTCATGGAAACCTTCAACGAAGCACGGCTTTCTATCGTACTGCAGCAGTACCTGAAGGACAAACGAATCCTGAGTCCACCAGAGGCCAATCAGAGAGAACCAGTTTTCTTTGGTAAGAATTAAGTTTTTTGTGCCATCACACTGGCAGGGTAGAGTCCTGTGTCGAGTCATTGTAAATCTTATTAAATTGTCTTCTGTTTTGCTTTTGATTTTGTTTTAGAGTTTGGGCAAACTGTGCCGATAAAGCTTGGAGTGAGGCTGCAGGAGATTGCACAGAGGTGATTTCAAAACTTGGTTTGCACGCATTTAAATGTTGCAGTAGCAATGAAAATATGCAGGGGAAGAGTGAGACAAGGAGGAAAAATCCAGAACAGGGAAGTTTTTATTAAATAGTTAAAGTCAGACACTGAAAAGCTGCTTTTACCACCCTGCTTTTACTACCCTTTTTAATTTTTCATATTTATTTCCTATCTTATTCATAGCCTTTCCTTTTTTGTTTTCTTTAGGTCACGAGCAGTTGTCCAAGCATTTCACTACATATCGTACTGTGTATGACTGTGTACGTGACAAATAAAATTTGAATTTGATTTGAATTCAAAGAAAAAAGAAATAAAAAACACGACAAAACCCAAATGTTGGTCACTTCAGATGACAGAGCTAAGTCGAGATTTTAGATCTGAAAATTATCTTATTTCTGAGATACTATCCTGAAAGTTTTTACTTATGGACACCAAAAAAAAATTAATTTCAGTGGCAGAAACAAGACACAGTAGTCAGCCAAACCCTCTCTAAACGTTCATTTCTCAAATTACATGTTTTCGATTCTCTTCCTTGCGGCTTAGTTCCTCACACCAATGCAAGTGGAGGAAGCAAAGAAGAAGAAGGCTTTTCTCATTTCATGTGCCTCCTTGTCTCTTCTGTCCACCTTCCTCTGACCCCCAAATCAGTCTCAGTCTTAAATCACACACAGAAACCGTGATGGGCAGAAAGTTTGATCTTAAATAACTGAAACAGGATTTATGGATAAAAACGATGAGCTGTTTAAAGATTCCTCCTCCTGCCACAGTTTGTGTATTCCAGCTGTGAGCCACTGGTCTGTTATATGTTGAAGTTAAAAACACTTCGGAAACATGTGATAAAACTAAAAGGAATTTCATTATCGTTCTGCTCATTTTGCAGCCCAGAAGATCTTGAGTTGGCTTTGAAGGAAAACAGCATGCCTTACCTGTTAGGAGTCAGAAATGGTATGCTGTCTTCCACCCATGCAAAGAAAAGCAGCATGTTTACATACTTGGAAAGTTATTTCTAAACCTCCTGTCTTTCTCGCAGGCTGTGTATGTGTTTGTTTGGGACCAGAAGCTTCAGTGAGTGACGAAATCAGAGCGATGTGCCAGGCGGTAGTACTCGGCAACATGCTGAGCTCGTCAAACTCCAGAGAAGCTACGGGGGCTGCACCGAAACAGCAAAGTGAGCCTCTACCTCTTTCCATGTTTAACTGTTTAAATGTGAAGAACTGTAAAACTTCCTCTTTTCTTTTTAGAAGGTCACTGGGAAATGGTGCACAAGAGTCACAAGCTGATGGATGCCATTTTCAATCCATTACTTAAGGGTGAGCACATGCAAAACTGCTTTAACTTACCAATCATCCTCTCTGATTCCTTTAGTGGAAGCATGATTCTGGAAATGTAACCTTCAGGTGCTGAAGCTGCAGGATGGGACATGAAACGAACCCTGATCGACTGGGATGAGTGGCGAGTCGAGTGGAAAACAAAAAGCAGCTGAGAAGCTTTAAATAAACAAAGGTGTTTTTAAGTATGCCTGATTTGATTCATTTAGCTGCCCCAACTCTCCAGAGAAAAATAGTTTATATGTTTACAAGAATAATATTTTATTTATTTTTATATTTTAAGTAATTAAAAAAAAAACCAGCATATCACCACGGAGAAAATGATCTTGGAGCTTGTTTTTGTGGGTATTTTGAAGAAAATATCAAAGTACAGATGCAAAAACAAAACGGTAGGGAAGGGGGCGGTATTAAACTGCCTTAACCAATCAAGGCACAACAAAGAAGAGGGAGCAACAACATCCGGTGCAAAGCGGATATGTCAAGTTCGAAACATCGTTGGGTAAAATTATAATTTAACTACTAGTACGTAAACACAAAATAATAATAATAATAATACTTGAAGTTTTCTTCCATGCCACAGGGCTATTTCTTACTTATTGTTCTTAACTTTGTTTTTTTGTCATTTAAAAAAAAATGAAAAAGTAGATTAAAATATAAGTGAATTTACAAAATGAGACAAAAATCACTATAAGAGTAAATGTAAACATAATAGATACATAATTCAGTCCTCTCAGTCAATTTTAGTCTTAGTGAATTGTGGCTGTGTTTTAAAGTACATATATATATATATTTTTTAATGCCTAAATTCAATTTATTACATTACATACAGTAAGACAAGTGATTTTATGGACATATCTTTCTGGGGAAACCACAGTTGCTGAACGATAACACGAAATTGTAGACTTAACCCCCAAAAAGAAAAAGCTATTAGTTTAGGAGATCATTTCAAAGAAATATCACATTTATGGATCCAGCAAATTAATTTTCTGTAGTTTTCCCCATATGGTTAAACATAATCTCAATATCAGGAATTTTCACAAATACCACGATTTTTGAAAAAGCAAAAATCATATTAATTATCAATCCTAAATATTATTAATTTTTAATGATAAATGTAAAAAAAGGTACATATTTCTAAGGAAGAATAAATGCGACCTTTATTTTGAAATGTCCTTCCGGATGTTGAAGTGTCCAAATTGTTGTTAGCTGGAGACGTTTCTCATACAACTTTAGCGTTAGCAACAACAAAATCGTTTTTTGTGGTTCCAACTTGACCGAAATTTGACCATAAATGGGGAGATATACGTGTGCCTACAACTGCGACACCTCGAGCGATCCAGACGTAAAGTTTTTTAAGTAAGTTTTCGATAATAGCGCTGCTTTTTGGTTAAACTAAACCAACAGACAGCTAGAAGCACGTTTGTAAAGTAACAGTGGCTGACAGAAGTAGGCTTGTATCAGTGTTAAGACTCAAATTTTCCACCTTTTCTCAACATTTTAAGCCCACATAATTAGATCTTTTTCTTTATACATGAGAGTGCAGTTCGGAGTGCACCTGGAAAAGTTACCGAGACGTGTACACAAGCTCACTAAGCAAAAAAGGGCATAAACAAAGAAAGTTTATCACTGTACATTTTGCTGCAGCATTATTTTTTTTTTATGCAGTTGCAATAGAGGGGTTTTATTCACACTAAATTCTAAGTCAAATCGTTTGAGAACCACTTGTGAGCTGTGTGCTGTAGGAGTGACTTAAGGGTTTAAGGTGCTGGTGGGAGTGTATCAGGGATCAGCCCCGAGGTGCTTCTTTCAGCAACAAACATCATAGTCCATAGTTTTCATGGACTGTGATGCAGGGAACATTGTGACCTATACTGACAGTAAGGAACAGATGTGAAGATGTGGACTTCAGAGAGAAGAGAAATGAGAGGGATACAGGTGTGATACTGCAAGAAGTAGAGGTACTGAAGATAGATGAGTTTACATACCATCCAAAACAATAGACAGTGCATAAGAGAGGTGAAGAACAGAGTGCAGGCAGAGTGGAGTGGGTGGAGACGAGTGTCGGGTGATTTATTTATTTATTTATTTATTTATTTATTTATTTTTGACAGGATAGCAGCAAGGGTAAAGGGGAAGGTTTACAAGATGCTAGTGAGACCTGTTATCATTTATGTTTTGAAAATGGTGGCACTAACAAAAAGACAGGAGGCGCAGTTTGAGATGTTAAGATTTTTATTTGTCGCA